CAAGCTCACAGCGCCGCGCGTGAATTAACCGTCGATGTCTATAGAGGCGGAACTGTGGGAAACAACTAGAACATGACTAGGCCAGATCGTGGTCTTGGAGCTGATTTCAGCCCGAGCACTGTGAGACTACCAATATTTTTTCAAACTTCAACGATTCTATCGAGATGTCCCAGTATTCTCTCCTTATCACACCAGAAGCGCTCCGAAAAACAGCGCTCAGTTTGTTTCAATTCCTGTCATTCGGCGGCGATATGAGATCTGCAGTCCGCAAGGTGGTTTGGCGTGTGGATCATCTTGACAAATAAAATGAGGCAACTCTGAGTTGAGGTAACCACCCGATCGTGGATTGATAGAGCGTGCCCTCAGCCGTCTTTCTGGTTAACCCTCTACTATAGCCTGGCACGTGGAAGACTCTAATCAGCCACCTCGTGAAGAAAAAGGTTCAGAAAGAGGGTCCTGAAGAAAGGGATCCTAGCTAAAGAAAGCAGCAGCCAAGCGAGGTGGCTAGCCTTTCGGATAGGCGAGCTTGCGTGTTGACGATGAGTTGCAAGGTATATTGGAAAGCTTGAACATTTATCAAAAGACTTTCACAACAACACATGTAAAGCGCCTTAGAAATTATGTGCAATCCTAATATATGTATTTACTATAATTGCTAAATCTAACTTGTTTTTCTCTCCCTTATTAAATTCCTCAACCTCCTTATTACTTTATTTATAAAATTAGGTTTGTCAATTACAAATGTTCTTTTCCTTGTAACATGAATAATATAAAAAAAAACTCGTTCTAAGAATACTGAAATACAATAAGTCAAAAACTAAAATGAAATAAAAACGACAAAATAAAGTAACTTTTGCAAATATATAGATCTAACTTGTTTTTCTCTCTTTATTAAAACTTCCTCAACCTCTTTATTACTTTATTTGCCATAACAGTAGTTGAATAAGAGTCTATAAATAAATTAGAATCCTTTTTCGAGGTATAGAAATTCTGTATTATGTTGCCTTTTCAAAATATGATATGGTAGAACTTTGCTTTGCGGTATAAGCTCTGGTCGTTTTCCGGCCTGGCTGGCTCACGCATATTGCATAACGGTGAGTGCTAAATATGCTATGGGTCAATACGAAAATTTAGAAGTTGAGGAGCGAAATGGTGCCTCGTAGCGGGCAGCCTGTCGCAACTTACCTGCATAGCGAAAGATGAGTTCGAGTCCTTCCGGGGCGCAAAGCTTCTCCCATTCCTAGCATTCTTGTTGCACTATTTTGAGGTTCTTTCTTAAGCCGAGAAGCGACACTTATCCTCTTTCTCAAAGGAGTTCTCTTCCCAATGAATACGTTGAATGTCCAATTGACAACCTTTTTTTAGGCTTTTTGTTCTTTACGGTTTTCCATCTCTTATTAGCACGTTCGAGATACCAGTACAGAACAACAAAGTCTGTGGTCTATTATGCGTACTTCAAGTAAACAATAATATGGGAAGATTCGAACAAATACATTTTAGAAGGCTCTCTCACTGTTTTGTTTACTCTCCCTTCCAGGTCCCTCACTCCAACGCCATCCTAGATCGGCACGTACTAGCGGAACACTGACCCCGTGGACTGAGAGCACCTCACCGATCCAGAGTCCGCTTCCGAAGGCCACACACGACTAAGGCAAATGTTGAACCTCAAAAGGTTTCTAGCAGGTTTTCGTATAATTTATAAGTTTATTCTTTCGAACTAAAACATATACATGGTTACATGTTTCTAACCAAGGCGTGCCGTTTAAACTTTTGATCAGAGACAACATTGCTTGCACGGATCATAATAATTAAGTTGGGTTGTAAGGGAATCAGTCTGGATGGACGACCCTAAGAGAAGAGCATTGAGGGTGGAAGAACGACGGCAGGCGCCAAGAAGGCAGCCGGGTGATCCCCTCGATGGCAGGCGAATCGTGTCTTTGTTATTCAAATGTCATCTCCCCAATGAGCTCGTCCGCCATTCATCTTTTTGCCACTCGACAACTGCCCGACTACGGTATTCCCTCGGAGACCTCGGCCATTCGGGACAAGTCTTTGAGGCCGGCTTAGCTGTGCCTCACACTAGAGTTTCTTCTTTCGCTCAAGAGCACTTGTTCTGCTCCAACTACTGGGAACCACTGATTATCGCTACTGATCCATATCCCATGGATGTTGCGATTTCTTTGTCAATTTTGCAGTGCTGTTGTCATATCCATGAGAACGAGTGTTCTTCATTTGCAGTTTGCTGATGCCATGGACATCCTGTCGCCACACAGGGCCTGTTCCCATATACCCCTTTCAAATTTTTCCCACGTGTGAGACGAGAAGGTCCACAGAGTGATGCTAGGCATGCCGGTGTTACCAACTCGTGAAGAAACTCCGTCAGACTTGTGAGATTTCTTTGAATAGGTCCTTATAGAAGCCCTGGATTCAATATCCGCAACGCTCTTTGATTATTCCATATTGCCCCTTTGAACGCCTTATGTCGTTTGAACTGGATGGAATCAAATTCTATGATATCAACTTAATGTTAGGTACCGGATATCTTAGTGTCGCTTTTCTGAGTTCAGGAAGTTTTGGGGCCGATTACCATGTAAAATGAATATCTCAGGAAGTCCCATTGCCTGTTCATTTGCCCATTCATACTGTGAAATATGTTGCTTATTGTTTTCTATTATTGGTTCACAATTTAACTTTTCCCTAATTTTTATACTTCTTTGAAAATCCTTGCTCAATTGTGCTAATTAATCTATGGTGAATACGCATATGCCTGTCAAAATTCTTCGCTGAGAGCTAATCTCCGCCCAATCAACCTTGCATTTGTTGAGGGAACATCTCCTGCTCATTTAAAGATGCTCCATCGTTTTTTCACAGTTTTCTCAAAAGACAGTGAAGTCTTTGCAAGTGATGCCCGCAATCGTCGTCAAAAAGGTGGCCCTAGTCAAATCAGTCGAGACGGGGCGCACCACTTCCTGTGCTGAAATGGTAATACACCTTAGCAGTGACTGATCGATGATGCACAAACGTTCCAAAGTTGACTGCACAGAAATTCTAACAAATGTGCTCACCTGTTACACGTGTGCTCAAAAAGGGTGCGTTTTTTGACCCATGTGGCAAAAAGAGACCCTGGAAAAAACTGTCCAGTTGAGCTGGTGAGTTCTAACTTTCCACCATACAATGCTGACCCTACTCTAACTAACTGTATACTTCTTTTGTCCAGGCCTAACTTTTTAGCAAGTGAGAGGGATGATTTGTCAGATGATGTCAAAACCGACCTACCTCTCTTTTTCGACTCAAAAAATTCCTAGCTTTAATCGTACGAGGTTTCCACTCATACTGGTAAATGGGAAAGTGCTAATGAGTTATTCGATGGATATGCTGTTCCACTTGCCGGATACTGAAATGAAATATTGGTGGTCCGAGTGAAAAAACGACACTAAGATATCCGGTACCCAATAGTATATTTTTACTTTTCCACTTTCGTAGGGTTCACGCTAATTTGCATCTATTGGGAACAGGGAAAGAACCTAGGGAATTTTTGGCTGCAATGCATTCACTTCTGAAGGTGAGAAAGAAGATCGTGAAGTTCCATTGCCGGGTCGACACCGATCATGATGAGACTTCCTTCTTGCTCCAGCTCGACCCAAATGATGTTGAAGCTGGACGGGTTAAAGCTGGAAAATTGAAGTCTGTTCTGCGTGCTTTCCCGTGTAGATAGCCGTACGCCTAGGTTGTTTCTGTGATATGCGACCAAAGCTCCACGACTGATTGTGGAATCCTTGTTTGCATCCTTAGGCCATATATTCGAGCTGGTCCGTTTCCGGCTATCAAGCAGGATAATATTCGTCCATCTGTCGATGTTCTTATGGCGACCACGTCAACGAACATCTGTTCTATTGACACCGTCGATGACAACGACCGATGCCGTTTCCTCTGTGCTTGGTCCGTTCATTTTGCGTTGTGCTTGGTGCCACGCAGACAACTCTTTAGCCACCACTGTCGGATTTCTAGCATGGTCGCACTCGTCCTTAAATCAGTAAATTAATGAGTTTAGAGCTACTTCAGAAATTAATAGTTAAGCAAGATTCCGCTGTTGCTGATTGGCAGCAGCGAATGAGTTCTCCTTGGTGATTAGTTTATTCCTATTGTCGCATCTTGTTTGCATAATTGCTCAGATTATTCAGAAGCTTCGAGTATTATCGCCAACTCACCTGCCTTACACCCTTTCACTCATAGGTGGATTCCCCACAACTTTGTTCTCTACTCAGATTTTTACAAACGACCGAGTGATTCCTCGAAAGCTAAGGCATTTGAACTGCGAAGTCCTGGGCAATTTTTTCTAACAGTTAGGAACGTCGACTTAATTCTTAATTATAAAGTAGTTGAACGGCGTTATCTAATTCAGCAGGTGATTAGAAACGCCTGATCCGTCGGGCTGGTGATTTCTGTTGTAGCGTGTTCTTTGGTAAAATTGATTGTTGAATACCTTCGTGCATGTACGACTTTTGTTCTGTGTAGTGTATGAGACCCGAATATCTCCACGTGTATCTGAAGTGAGCACCGAAAAGAACAGAGTTTATTTAAAAAAAAGACAATAATAAAGAACAGAGTATAGGAATTCAGGGGTGTGCCCGGAGACGACGAGTTGTGGAGGTCCTTGAAGTAGAGGCGGGTGGCGGCTGCGTGACGTCGGGAAGACGGGGGGTTTCTGACGAGGGGGACTTCTGGCGGGCCTATTGCCCGCTCCGCCGGAGATAAGAGGAAGACCACCTCAGAGGCTGCACTTGCCTTTTATAGGAACTCCTGGTCCTCTTGATCTCCGGTGAGAATTCCCTCGCGATCACTTGCCTGTAACCTTCTTACAATCCTATGACGCTCCTGTCCTGATCTCCACATCTATTCTTTTCACCTCGCTGCTTTAAATGCCGTCAGCGTGCTTCTATGATTTGGGAGACATATCTTTCCTCCACTACATTTTTTCAATTTAGAAGGTCCCTGCTGTGATGGAAGACGACGATTTCCAGGTATTTTCATTTCATTGTGAGGGCCTCCTGTTTCTAACCCGTTGCGGACCGCGACTTCGCGGCACGCCGCTACTAAAGCGGTTTTTTCTGACTTATTTTCGATTTTTGTTGGTAGTAAACTCATCAGTGAGCTCAGAAGTTATCACCTATTTGACTGATGAAATTACTGCTGGATTTTGATCACCGATAGAACAGTTGACAAAAAACTACGGAGGTGCACGGCGATGTGCAATTGGTTTTGACCCATGTTTCGGTGCCACATACGTATTTCCCTTCGGTGACAGGCGCTTGATATTGTCTTAGGAACTGGTGAGGTTTCCTTCTATTTCCAATAGGATTTTTCGTTTGAAGCTGCTTCGAAGCTCTCTATGCCCTAACAATTAATTTTTGCGCCGCCATCCCCTATCACCTATCTTTTTAGTCTATGGCTGTACGTAAAGGGGTTGCCTACTGGGGAGAGATGTGAAGGCAGGATCATCCGCGCCCGGCCGACAAAGGCGGGACAGACGTATTTGAGGTTGGCGAAGACGAAAAGGACGAAAGGGGATCGTGCTTTTGAAAGTTGAAGAAGTTGTGGTTGCTGGACAGGAGTCATTTGACGAATTTGTTCGATAAATGTCTAGGGACTTATTCGCGCGACAGAACGTGAAATATTCAAACGAGACGCATCTCTCCCGCTTTTCGAGCATACTTTTACTTAGTTTATATTCCTCCTCGCTCCCTCGCTAATCGCTTATGAAACCAGGGAGAGTGGTTGAGGGAGTCACACTGCTGTTCAGACTGATTCCGAACAACAATTAGTACAGGAACAGCCATATGATCGTTGAGCAGAGTCGTTTTTGAAAAGCTGTTCGAAATCGGCATAAGGGCGAGACGGCTTGGACCCTAGCGCCACATCTGCTCGCTCGTCCCTATGTCGAGTTGCTTGAAAGTTATTCCTAGATCAGGCCATTGTATGTACTAGTAGAACAATAGTAGAGCGTCGTATGAGTGATGTCAAAGCTGACTTCTCACTCAACCTGGTTACTTCTTTTCGATCGAATGCTTGTCAAGAGAAAATTTCTCTAGATGTGGTGTCATGCCCCGTAAATATTGAGAAGGGACTCCAGTCGGCGCAGGGAACCGACAATCATTAAAAATCAATTCGGGATATTGATTCATTATAACCCTTTAAAACCACAGTGGCGATACCGCGATACTCAAAAACATATTTTTGGGTATCGCGGTATCGCAGCACTCATCGTCAGTTCGTCTGCGCTCTCTCAGCAGAAGAGCGCCTCATCCAGCCAAACCTTGGAGGAGGTGGGTGAGCTACTTACCCTCCATACTAGGCATACGATGCATAAGCATACTCTAACTTTTGCTCCGTTAGTAGGTAAGTATTAGCTCAACCCCTCAAGGTCTCACCCACAACTGCAGTTAGGCCTCCAGGCTAGGAGTCGTTTACTGGCGCGGCAGGAGTCGTGTCGCACCTTGAGCCGGAATGACCGCAATTCTTAATTCGTAGACACTAATCTGACAGCACCGAAGAGCCAGGATTTGCAAAATTTTCCTAGGCCATCTTTCTCTGACTTAAAGCGCATAAAAGGCATAAAGCACTTTTGCCCGTTGATCATCGCGCTTTCGGGCATGCCGGCACGCATTCTACTTCCATCTTGTCCATTCGCGCAGTGGCATTTGAATGCGATGTGGCCTATACAATGACTTGCGGGGGCCAGCCGATGTTCAAGTCAGTGTTTTTATCCTCCCAGACAAGTCTGGTACCAATTAACCGACCCCGGAGGGATGGAAGGCTTGGTTGGCCCGGGCGACTCACGACCCAGGATTTGATCCCGGACCGCTCGCGTGGTGAGCGCGCCACTTGTCACTACACCACTTCCGCCCATCCTTGGACTTACTCCTAGAAATCCCTTATTCGTCGCCGCGTGGCTCTTTCGACCACAGTGGCACCGCTGTTCTGGCTGAGAAAACGTTAACGACATTAATATACAAAAAAACTAAAGAAATGGCTTGTCAATGGCGTAAGAATGAAATACTAGTATCGTTCATTATTGAAGAATTAATGAGTAAAATAGGATCAGGGCAATTCACAAGAAGTATTCGCCAAATTGGCCCCATCCCCTCGCCCTCACTGCTTCCCCCCCCCTCCCCCCAGTGCACGAGCGTCCAGGTTCTGTTATAGATGTAGAAATTGCTAGTTTTATCTATCAGAATATTCACATTAATTTTGGTGTTTTTGAACTCATCGCTCGGTGGTTTTCTGCAAAGCACGGGTGACATTGTGTTAAGAATTCCGCCCTAATAAGAATTTTATTTGAGATGACATCGCCGGAGAGCGGAGTGCGTCTGTCGATTAACATGCGTGAACGATGCCGAATGCACGACCTCAACGAGGCGTTGGACGATCTCCGTGCCGTCCTACCGTATGCCCGAGGAGGCTCAGTGCGAAAGCTCAGCAAAATTGCCACTCTACTGCTCGCCAAAAATCATATAATAATGCAGGTACGTGGAGTATTAACGGTCAGAGCGATTGTGACTTTTCTCCAAATGGTTTATAGTTTCGTATAGTTGTTGAGAGAAATATTTTCGGTTCACATTGACATGGGTGTAAAAGGTAGTGGCCCGAAGACGGTGTTGTTTGTTCGAATAGGTATCTTGAAATTGCTGGTTACTCTGACGGATAAAAACTCTGACAAAAGCTGAAAGTTATGTACATTGGGCACCATAAGAAGATCATTGACACTTCATTTCTGTATAAAGATTACCTCTCGTGTCCACCTCTTCAGGGAATGTTCAAAATGACGAAGCATGGAATATTTCAAGCGTAGGAGGCCAAAAAAACTCGGTTTCTCTTTATTTTTAGGAGTGAATTACTCATACTTCGATAGGCTCATAATTTGTCACTTAAAATTGGAATAGCACAGTGCTAGTCGGCATTTGAAAGCACAACCCAGGTCAGAGCGAGCGAAGCGTTGCGAACAATCTGAAAAGGAGTAGGGGCCGTCACGATGCGATACGAGGAGTCGCCGTAACAGAACATGCCCTAGAAACAACGTTATCAGGCATCAAACGCTGATCTGCATGCTGTCTCCTCACGGAGAATTTCTTTCTCTCCTCAGCACCTACTATCTCTCAACTATTCTTCTCCACATCGTACAACAAAGATTTCTCTTCCATTTCAATCAGCCGGTCCCCTCGCACTCCTAATTTACGATATGGAGCGCGCTCACCTCACCAACTGGTACTGCAGCTTGCCTCGAACATCAGAGAAATCTTCTGCACGCAGACATCAAGAGGTTCTGCTAAGCAAACCAATGTGACGTTCGAATTCAGCAAGATTCTCGAATTCTTCACATTAGCCGCCTTTTTGAGGAGAATTCCACGATAAGGTTGATGGTCAAACAAAGGAAAACTTACTCACGGGAAAGATAGGTGGACCCTTCCTATCCTCCCACAAGATG